ACATCCATACAATCTAATTATTGATGAAAGAAATAAAACAATACCTCAATAAATCCGGGAATAAGCATAATAATAATCAGATATAAAGAATCATATTATGCAACTAACACAAGATTAAAATAATAAAACATTCATATTAATTGCTAAGTTATTTTTAATCAATAAAATCCTCCATTCCATCCAATAATTGATGAAGAAATAAAACAACACATCAATTAATCCAGAGATAAGTATAATTAAAATCAGATAATTAACCGAGCATATTATACTGCTAATACATGATTTAAAATCATGCAACATCCATTTAAATTGCTAGAATAATTTTTAGCAATTAAAACATCCACTAACAACATGCAAATTTAGTTAAAATTTCATATTGTTCAAATCCTTAGTACATTAATATAGATTATGCATTGTGGGTATTTAACATGTACATTGTAGTCATTTAAAACCCTTATTACAGTCTAAGCAACCTTAGAAAATCCCAAAATCCAAAACAGAACAAAAAAAAAAAAAAAATATATATATATATATATATATATATATATATATATCACTTTCTGTAGTGTTCCAGCAAGAGAGCATGCTCTCTTCTGAAAGGAGCATGCTTTATTCAAAAGAAGCCGCCTTCATTCTTAATAGAGCATGTCTATTTAAAAGGAGCTGCCTCCATTCTCAATGGAACATGCTTTATCCAAAAGGAGCCACCTTCATTCTCAATAGAGCCGCCTCCATTCCTACTACTCTCCGTCTTCTTCATCTATGGTGTCCTCTGATCATTTCAACCATCTTCCTTAAGGTTCCTAACCTTCTGTTCTAATTACCAGATGATCCCAATTAATTTTGTAAAGTTCTTATGCCTCTTTTACACCAATTCAAACAAGATTCAAGCAAGGAATTTCAAAATCAAGCAAGTATGAGTATAAACACATAAATTCTGTTTTAATTCCAATTAAGCATGCATACATGGTTAATTTATTATTTGATAAATCCTGAAATTAAACTAGGCATGTATAGAGTATGAAATCTAAGGAAAAGAGTAAAAGAAGAACTTGCTTCTAGGTTTCCAATTGAAACCTTAACTTCTTCTTCCTAACTTTGTCGGCGATCGTGGCTGCCATCATAGCTCTCTGGTATACTGTCCTAGCCCATGCACAGCTTCTCCTCCTTCCTCCTCTTGGTTCGGCCTCAACCTTAGGCCGAGCCTCTCCTTTCTTCTCTCACGGTTTCTCTCTCTTGTTAGGTAATACCACGAAATATCATATATGCCTCCACAGACTTATGTTTATATAAGTATAGATAACATATAACCATAATCCTTGTCTAATCCTAAGTCTATTTATAAAGAAAAAGAGAAATAAATAATACAACGTAATAATAATACTACATTATAATATTACGTATCTACATATATATGTATCCATTTATAAATATAATATAATTTTATACATATACATAACTGAATCCTCCTTATTATTATTAATTAAATAATAATAATAATAATAATAACCACCATATATATATACCCATCTAAATATATATATATATATATATATATATATATATATATTAATATCTATATATATATTAATATACTAATACCCATGGGTCATACTCTTACCCATTTAGGCTTCATCCAAGTAGTATATGTGACCCATTTCTTTAGTCCATTATTACTATCCAAATTCACGTCCTTTAATTTAAACAAAATAAAATAAAACTACATAAACAATTAAAACATTTAACTACCACATAACTACAAACCTACGCACAATTAAGTCACATAAATCACAACACACAAATCTACACAATTCAATTTATATAAATCATTTAAGCACACATAATTTAAATTAAATAAATAAGTCAATTAAACATATAACTAATAGCCAAATAATCAATTAATCCAATAAAATGCAATTATAACAATTAAATAAATACTGAGATTATCATTTTAAAATTAGGGATATTACAAATTCTGTCAAAATCCCAACAATTGTTGCTTTTGTTCGCCTAGGTCTGCTTATGTTTGGCTTGTTTTCGGCTAGTATGAGTGAATTTACTATTTTCTCTCTGACTAGATCTCTGATCTATGTCGGTTTTGGTTGTTCCCGACTTGGTCTGATCTTTTCCACTTGATCTAATCTTGTGCGGGTTTGGGTAGTTTTTCCTCCTGTCGGAGGTGCCTTGTAGTTGTAACTTTGGAGTTGTTGTCTTGATGATGATCAGACCTTTGGGTTTCTCCTGTTACTGCTCTTCTCCCTTGGTGGTTTTCATTATTGAATTTTGGCTCTTGTTCTCAACAACTTTTGAGTCTGTTCTTCATTTTTTCTTATTTTGTTTCAAGATTTATATGTCTTTATCTTGATTGGTTTTTGCCTTGTAATATCATTGATGACTTGATTTTTTTGCCTTTGCCCAAAAAAAAAAAAAAAAAAAAAAAAAAAAGCAGGTCCCAAAAATTCTTTTACTTCCCTAACTATCACCTTCCCCGCCAAATCACAAAAGTGCAAAAGGATTACAGTGTTTCGAGACAAGTTTTGACAAAATGTTTTATGTTGTCTGAAAAATTATTTTAGGAATCAACAATTTGATCGTTTCATTAATAAAATATCAATTATTGGGATGAATTAATGTTTTCACAAAAAAAAAAAAAAATGTTTGTCCTCTCCATTAAGCTTTCTGTTGCAGAGATGCTAACTATTATTCATCAAAGCATACAAATTTTCAAACAATTAACAACCACACAAACCATATCATCGCAAAAAGGATCATTAAAAATTTAAAACATTTCATAAAACAGTGGCAAGAAATGTTTGGGCCCCAGTAGCTGAACTGACTTTATGTCTTGTAATGCATGTTGGGTTACCAGGAAATGTCATACCACATCACTTTGTGCTTTCAATTCAACTTGTTTTTGGTACTCTTTTTTGACATGTTACTCCCTCCTATGCAAATTAGTTTTTTTTTTGTTTTTTTTGAAAATTTAACTTTTTTAAGAGAATAAATTTAATTTTTTTTAATTATAATGATAGTGAATAAATTATTAAATATGTTTATAGTAGATTAATTTTTTATAAATTTAATATAAGAAGGTTAATTTAATAATTTAACTTTTTAAATGAAATATTTATTTTGAAACAGACAAAAATAGGAATATAAATATTTAATTTGAAAAGGAGAAAATATTTATTTACTAATTAATAAATAAATCTGAATTGGGAGACGTGAAATATAAGAGTGGTAGGATGTGAGCCCTACTATTCCTTTGATCTCAAGTTTGGTTACATCAAATCAGAGAGCAAATCAATTTCCTTTCCGCTTTAAGTAGATGATGGTGCTTAAAATCAAGTTCGTAACTAATGCACCGTCATCTTCTATGGGGTCATTAGGGTCACTGAAAATCATCATTTTGTATATTTTAGATCATAATACAAAAAAATGGAGAAATAAATCATGATATTATTAGTAATTCTAGAGTAGGTTAGACTAAATCAAGACAATATTGTGGTATTTATGTGATAAAATTTAAAAAATACTAAATAAGTTAAAAGAAAATTTCTATAGGACGTGCAGCCATTAAGCCAAGCTATATTATATAGGGGTAGTGTATTCCGCATTGAAAAAGAAACAAAATAAATTCTTGTAGCTGAAATGAAGATGTTGAGGTGGATGATCTGTGACTACAAAAAGATAAAATTATCAATCAAAGTGTATGAGAGATATGTGTGTTGTAACAATTGAATATATAATTTGGATCACTCATACGAGCAGTACGTTTAGCTCACTTACATGTGACTCAATAAAAAAAAAAAGAAAAAGAAATAGAACTTAGACTCATTGATACCCCAAATAGCATAGAGTAGTTTGAATAGAAGATAAGAAAAAGTGAGAAACTCATTTAGAAAACTCAAATAAATAAATAAAAGGCAAAAATGTCTACTATGATGAAGAAGTATTGCACCATCAAAGACATTAGTGTATCATTCATCTTCTACAGTATAAATAATTAATGGTAAAAATGTAAAATATTTATGTTAAAGTATAAATAGTTAATGGTAAAAATAAAAAATATTTATGTTATTTGTTGGGGAAAGAAAATAAAAAATTCACCCATTAGTAGCTCTGTCCACACCAATTAAGACACGTTGCACATTCACCAAAGCCGTAGTCACATAGGAGCAATACTCAACTATGGTGAGTCAGAAGGCGACACGTGGAAATGCGGCGATGCGCGCGGCTCACCTAACCGAAGATCAAATTTAATCACTCAATCCTGTACTGAATTTAGTGCAATGTCTAAATCGTTAACTTCCAAAAAAAAATCAATTGCCACGTGTCAAGCATCAAGTGAAGAATGAGTGTGGGACTGTGGAGGACACAGACAGATCATGATAACGTGGATGGATAAGGATCTGCGTCGGTCCGTGTGTTTCTTTCTGTGTATATTCTATTTTCAGGGTGTGTTGTTGTGGGCCCAACTTCACTTATGTTTGGCCTTCGTATTTCTTCATCGCCTCTGCTTTTTAAAATTTTATTTTAAATGAATATATACGTATGCATTGCATATTTTGTTATAGAATTGAAAAATAGAACATAATGAATTGTTATTTTTTTGCACCATCTCTTTCAAATTAAATATGATTTTCAAAGTGAACCATCTAATTTATAAGTTTTAATTGATTATTAAATATAAAAAATAAGTCCTACTTTTTTATATTTTGCAAATATAAAATAAGTCAAATTCACTAATTTGTATTACATAACTAGGTATGTTTATTAAAATGACCACCTGAAATATATTACTATTTTTGTGTCAAATTATGATGGGTCGTACCATATAAAAATCTATCCTACACTCTTAGCGCTAAAAAATCAGAACTTTAACCGCTAAAATCACAATTGTATCACACATAAAAGTACCAACAAAGGAAAATGCATATATAATAGTAATATTTAATAAAAAAAAATAAGAATAAAATCTGTATAATTTGTGATTCGCATAATTGTGAGCTTCTACGCCTTTGCTTCTTAGATTCTCTCTCTCCCTCTGTCTCTCTCTCTACACTTATTGAGATTTCATCTTCAGATTATGCAAGAAAATCGATTGACGGGTATATGCAAATCGGTGATGTTCATTCGAAATCAGTATTCACATAAGATATTTTGGCCTGTAAAAACGACTTCGGATCAATGTTCTTCCACTGTAGTTCACTGCTCACCCGGCATGAAACTCCTTTTATGTAACTTGTAAGAAACCAAAAAAAACTTTATTCTATTATGGAATTTCATTCCTACCTTCCGTTTTTGTCATCTTCTTCTGTATTAATCTATGGGCTTTGTTTTGTACTTTATTAAGTTCCTATTTGAACTCTTCTTGGTTTCTCTGTTACTAAATTCAACATTTCTGTTTTGTGTTTCATGGTGTTGAAGCTGACTTCTTCAACAGAAGGACAAGTGCTCAACGACCCACATGGGATTGGGTTTAATCTGCACACAGAAAGACACGGAATTTGAAGAAGCCGCAGCAACAAAATTTTCTAAATTTCTATGGATACACAATTGGGTATGATTGAACAATCCTTTAATGTTCGATACTCGCTTTGGGTCCGCGAAGCGCTCGACGAATTGCCTGACTGTTTCACGATCACTGATCCTTGCATTTCTGGGCACCCAATTGTGTTCGCCTCTCGTGGGTTCTTGAAAATGTCAGGGTATTCCAGAGACGAAGTGATTGGGAAGAATGGGAGGATATTTCAGGGACCCAAGACGAATCGGAGGACGGTGATGGAGATTCGGGAGGCCATTCGAGAGGAGAGGACTGTACAAATCAATATATTGAATTATCGGAAAGATGGGTCACCATTTTGGATGTTGTTTCATATGTGCCCTGTTTTCAGTAAGGAGGATGGGAGGGTGATTCATTTTGTTGGAGTTCAGGTCCCGATTTCGCAGAAACCGAGGCGGTTGAGCAGTGGGTTTGGGAGAAATGGGGTGAGTTTGGGTGAGGATGGGACTGGGTGGTCTTGTAGGAGGGAGGTGTGCTCGGATTCTGTGGTGGAATTGGGTCGCGTTTTGGCTATGGATTCAGTGTTGGATTCAGAAGATAGAGGTTTGTTTTTGTTTTTCAGTTTGCAGTTGAGTCTTTGTTTTTACATACAGAGTATGACCTTGTTTAATTGGTGATTTACATTACATAGAACTTGGTTGTTCATGTTTAGCATGAAATTATTGTGGGGTTGTTTCAACATATTAACATGCTTACTGGTACTTACTACTAATTTATGTAATCTAGCTGCAGGTCTCTCTCTCTGTCTCTATCCGAATTTCCTTATTTCACTATTTCTTTTTCAGTAAATGAATTTTTGTTGAATGTTTCTATAGGTTGTGGTTCTTGTGGTTGGTTATAGTGGTGTAATCTAAGTTGCTCATTGGTTTGCTTTTCTTATTATTATTGATGAGAAAATTATTGTGTACTATTACTATAAATAGATATGCTTACTTCCATTGTCATACTAAGATACTCCTTTTACTCCTTATTAGGTTGCTTGGGTTGTCTACTTTTGTTCCAATGCTTGCTTTTACAGGTCAGGAAATTCCTTTTCTAAAAATTTCTCATGCACTGGATTTATTTATTACAGAATTAGAGGTTGATGAGCCGTGCAAGGCAAGTGATTTAGAGAAGCGAAAAGCTGTGACTGCTATTAACAACATATTTTCTGTGCTCACTCACTATAGTGAGGTAACAGGCAGATTAGTGTGTGGGAACAGATGTTGCTTGTCTGGGATGGGTCCTCTGTGTTCATCATTAAATATATCTCTTGGTAGAATCAAACAAAGCTTTGTATTGTGAGTTTTAACAAGTTCCTGGTTTTTCTTATATTATCAGAGACATAATTCTGCTTTTCTAAGGTTGTTGATTTTTATGCTTTGTGTTCTTGGCACACATATCTTTGGCCTACTTGCATTGCAGAACCGATCCGCACTTACCTGACATGCCCATCGTTTATGCAAGTGATGCGTTCTTAAGATTGACAGGTAGTCAAATGTGAACCAAATTTACAATGCTGTTTGTTATTTTTTGACTTGTCTCATATGTAAAATTTTCTTGCTTGAGAATGGGAGATGGATCCAGTTTATAGATATCCTCAACCATCTGGCTTGTCAAATTACTCATCCTAAGGAAAATTCTTTCTTCAATAGGCTATGCTAGACATGAAGTATTGGGATGCAATTGTAGATTCTTAGGCGGGGTGGATACTGATCCCTCAACTATATTTAAGGTGACTATTCTCCAATTTAGCTCTTGATTATTTTTTTGTTTTTTGGATGTGTTCTTTAATACTCTTATCAGCAAGACTGTAAATATCTCGACCTAGTAGAAACTTCTCACCACTATTGAGTGGACAATGTGGGTTATATTCTACTCAATGAATGACCTGAAAAGAAGGGAATGGAAAACGAAAAGAGATTTTTTAGTTTCATCCTTCCTTTATTTTATTTTATTTGTTGTTGTGCAGATAAAGGAAAGCGTACAAACTGAGCAACCATGCACAGTACGTATCTTAAACTACAGGTTGATACTTGTCTATACTTCTTGTCATGTTCTGGAGGACAACCTATGATTTTTTCTTTGTTTGTTCTTTTAGTCTGAGATCATTAAGTTCTTAATCTAATAATTACTAAGATTTTGATTTTTCTTTTTCCTGCTTTGTTCTTAGGAAGGACAAGAGTTCATTTTGGAATTTTCTTCATATTTCACCTGTTCGGGATGCTTCTGGCAAGGTAGTTAGTTTTTTCTTTCTGTCAGTTGTCTGGAATTTTTGTTGTAAATGTCTGTTAATAGGATTCATGTTTGGTTCTTCTTTTTGTGAATTTTCTACTCCATATGTTGGGTGTAGAACCATGCTGCATGGTTTTTATTTATTAGTAATATTTGAGTTATGTCTTGTGAAGACTCTGTAAACTGTGACAATTCTTTTGAGTCTTGAAAATTGATTAGCCGGTGCAGCAGGGTTAACAATGTCGGACATGTAAAAGTTGTGTTCTGTATTTGATGCTGGTACTGGTAGCACTAAGATGGTAGTAGATTTGAGTGTGCTTTATTTTTGGTGAAATACTTATTTTCCTTCACATGCCTTCTATCTGATCCTACTTTTGTTACTGCGATACACCAAGTCTCTTAAGCACAATCTTGTCTTTCAATGGACTGCATAGAAAGTTGAAATACTTATTTTCCTTCACATGCCTTCTATCTGATCCTACTTTTGTTACTGCGATACACCAAGTCTCTTAAGCACAATCTTGTCTTTCAATGGACTGCATAGAAAGTTGATTATATTGGTTCCCATTCCTTCTTCTGAAATGCATCTGAGTTCATAGTAGAGCTTTTATGCACGTAAATTTTCAAAGGCTCGTGCCCAAAAAAGGTAATTAGTGCCATTCCATTTTTGTGAAACTATTACAGAATGGGGGTTATCAAACAACCCTGGGAGGCAAAAAGGAGAAGTCCAACTACTAACCATAGGAGGGTTTTACATTGGAGTTTTGTAATTCATTGTTTAAGAATATTGATATGCTATGTTACATGGACTTGGGTACACGGGTCAGATGCAGGTATGTATTCACATGTCGGACGTGCCAAATTCCCAAATAGAAGGATACATGAACTGCTAAGTACTCTATGGGACAAAATGTTGGGCAGCTAGGAAACAACATATGCATAAAATGAGTGTGGCGGAAATGCGAATGTTGAGACAGATGCATGGCAAGACAAGAAAGGATAGAATTAGAAATGACCACATCCGTGAGATGGTTGAAGTAGAGCATCAATTGACGATAAAATGAGAGAAAATCGATTAAGATGGTTTGGGCATGTGCAAAGAAGACCATTAGGTGCGCCAATGAGGTAGACGAACATGGTTCACACCGAGGATAATGCTAGGGGAAGGGGAAGACCAAAATTAACATGGGTAGAGTTAGTAAGAAAGGCTATGATAACATGTGGTTGGCTGATATTATGACCTTTAGATAGAGTGAAATATAAAACTAGGATTCATGGAGTCAATTGCTGATCCCAAGTAAAGGCTTTGTTTGTTTTTGTTGTTATTGTGGTAAAAAAATGTATTATGTAAGATAGTGTTCAATATAGGAATTTCACTCGTTTTGAAGCAATAATATTATAGACTTGAATTATTGAATATGTTTTTTTGTTTCATTTTCAACTAAAAATATAGGACACATATCCAATACTCATGTCTGAGTATCGTGTATCCAACATGGTACTTCACCTACGTTTAAGGAGTCCATGTAACAAAGTGGATATGCATGTCAATTTGTATGTTTTTTTCACAATTTCTCTCTTTTAAAATGTTTTTCTGCATTTATCCATGTTGTCTCGACCTTGAAGGTTATGCTCTCTTTATAGTATTATTATTATTATTAATTTTTTTTGTGATTATATTGCTCCTGTCAATGAATAATGTATATCAGTGGGAGCTAGGATTTGAGAATATATCAAGGTGATTGTGATAAACTTTTTGGTGTTCCATGACCAAGACATATCTTCAAGTTTCTACATGCTTCAAATATGGTTGAAGACGTGAGTGGCTTCTCTGGTTACTTGATTAAATTTAATTTTTTTGGAAAATGCATACATAGTTGGTTCCGGAATAGGCAAGGAGATTGTGAAAGTGATCTTCAACATTGCCATGCTTGTTGCTAAGCTGATAAATGTGTGCCGGTCTTAATTTCATTATTATGAAAACCATTCATGAGACTCCTAACGATTTATGAGATTCCTCTCTAAAAATAACCATTCATGAGATTCCTGTCTGAAACCCCATCCAAAGTTTAAAGGCATTTGGGAGATGCACACACAAAGGCAGGTGTTGCATGAGGCTTATTCCTCAGCCAATGAGGCAGGCACCTCTAATTCTGTATATTGTGAAGTTTGAACCGAATTTAGAAAGTCCCTGAAGGCTCATACCTCGGAGTCCGAGACTTAAGGGTTTTCCCACCTTTTACATGCCATTTTTTAGACAACCACTTCTTACGAGACCCGTCATAAGCTTCTTTTTAGATGTTTGTAATAGACTTTCAACCAAAAACCTATAGACGATAAAAAAAGGGTCTTAGAGTAGGGAAAGAAGGAAGAGAAGAAGAGAGAGAGAGAAAGGAGCAGTGGGGAAGAGATGAAGATAAAAAGATAGAGAGAAAGAGAAGCCTTGAATCTGTCAATTTATTCAGTGGCGGAGCGAAGAATTTACTCTGGAGGGGGTGAACTTAAAATAGTGATAAATCTTTTTCCCCAAAAACCTATTGACAAGCAAAAAGTAGTTTTAGAGTAGAGAGTTTTTTATGCAAAGAGAATAATAGAAGAAAGAAAGAAGAAGAGAGAGAGAAATGAGAGGAAGAGAAAGATAGAATGATATAGCAGCCTTGAATTTGTAACATTAATCCATGGCAGAGCAAAGAATTTACTCTGGAGGGCGCGAACTTAAATAATGATAAGAGATTTTTTATTTTTTTTGAACCAAATAAGAAGTGCAAAGACTTGAATGCTTATTCTGATGTTCTCATATAAGATTTTTATTGTTCTCAACTAGTTATCATGTCTTAAACATAACCTGGCTCCTTTTCTTTTTCCCAAAATAGTTTTCTATTTTAAAGAAATAGCAAAATTAGACGAAAAAGAAAGGATTGTGGGCTTCTTACATACTTGCTTAGGGTCAAGAAATGGACTGAGAGAGGATTTCTGTAGTTCTTTCTCTGTCTTTCGTTTGGAGAGAGATTTACGATTTGTTTGGTAGAAATGACAGAGTAGTGGATGGAATGGATGGTGCATCCTTGGGGAAAGAAAGGTGCTCTCTTGTTTTGTTTGGTTGAGTCGAAGGGAAGAGAAGGAATCAACAATAAAGTTGGTTATTAAGGATTCACAATCACTGTAAACCAATTCTGTGCCGATCTTCCGTGAGCATTCTACAAGCATAGAAGACGCTTTGTGAATATGGCTCCTATACATTAATTTTTTTGACAATCACTGAATGATCAAGCTGTTTGCATGTCATCTCTTGTTACATAGTGATGACGAGAGGGATTTTGCTATCATTTCACTGAAAGTGCTGAAATGAAGAGCTGTTAGGATCTCTTGCCCTTCCTTTTCTTTAGGCCTGGTTGAGTGTGTTACTATCGGACTATCAGTTATCATGAGTAAGACTGTAAGAGGGAGTAATTTTTGAAAAGCTAAACTTCCTCCAGCTCGTTGTATCCACAGAAGAATTGTTTTCTTTTTTGCGTTAAATCTCTCTCTTTCTCTCTCTCTCTGTGCAAGCCTAACCCCAACACGCCGCCCTATTAATTTCTCGTCCCAATTGCCCAGAGAAACTGAATAACTCCTGGAAAAATTGGAGATAGGAAAGTAGTTATGGAATTCCATAGTACCATAAATCCCAAGTCAATGAGTAACTTCCATTGTTGACAAAATCTTACAATCTTACAATATACTTCATGCAATGGTTTTGTTTAATTGTTTTCTGCAATTATTTCACTTTTTATATTTCGCCAGTTCTCGGGCCACCCCCTCCCCCCCCCTCGCTTTTATCAGTGGATTAACTAATGGAGTTCAGTGAGGCCAAAACATGTATATGTCCTAAGTGCATAGATTTTTGAGACAGTTACAACTGTGGCATATCTACCTGTGGAATTGCTATGTTATGGAAGCTGCAGAGTAGACTTGTTTTTTTTTTTAATATTTATATCAAAATATATTTGTATGTATTCAGAATTTATTTGTACTGCACCGTAGTCATGATTTTTCTCATATCACGTTTAATACTGATATATATATATATATATATATTATATATACATATATATATATATTTTAAACTTAATTTTTTTATGTGCATATATGTTTTATATCAAAATGAAGATATTCTTTTTTTTTTGTCTTTCTTTCCCTTCCTCCAAATTTGATTCATTTGGAAATCTCACTCGTTCCAAATTTCTTCTCTTTGATTTCTTATACCTGTTGGAGCAATAACACACACTAGTTTTCTCTCGTTATACATGCAGAATTAAGTCTGCAGTTACAAAAACTATTGTGCAACCTGGTTGATGATGAGCTTTTGATTTGTTGATCCTCTGCTATGTTTGCGTTAATTGTCTCTCACTTTTAGCGTTTGATTGCTTGACGAAAATGAACTTTCTATTCTATTTCTTATAGCTGTTCCCATGTCTCTTATTGTGCATGGTTTTGCAGATAGCATATTTTGTCGGGGTTCAGATAGATGAAAGTTGTAAGAATAACGATAAACAAGGGCTGAGCCCAAAGATGAGGCAGCTTAGTGTCATCGGTGCAGTTAAGGTTGCAGTAAGAAGTTCATCAATGGCTGCTGGAGCCTCCAAGTCGTAGTTTCTATATTCTTGGCTTTGATTACTTGCTTTCTATTTAATATCTTTGATCTTTAGACAGTTATATATTTCATTTACAATCTCACCTAGCAGTAGGTTGAAGGGTTATCCACAAAATTAGGTGGTTGTAGCTGGGTTGTTAAGCTCGCATTATTTATGTATATATAGTTTTATTCTGTAATTGAAACTGAACGCGGATCATCTACTATCGGTTATCCGGACAGTCCACGTTGATGATTATTGAGAATGTGTGCACGATTGAATCATAATTGTATCTATTACGCGAATAGTCAAAGGGAGATGATTGTAGCAATTGGTGTAGAACACATTGATCATATGGTAAAGCTATTCTAATTACTGGATATGGCCTTGTAGTAGTTGATTTTGCCCTAATCTGCTAATTTGTTTCCTGTGTAGCTTGGGATTAGATTTTGATGGGGGTGGTAAGAGAGGAAGTAGAATTTGACCTAAGCTAGTCTAATTACTGCATCAGAGTTTTTCTTGTTTTGTCCTTAAAAAGTTGTGCACGCATAATATGTGATTCTGTATATCGAAGCAAAGTCGAGTCAGAGTCATCGTCATCGTCATCGTCATCATCCTTGCCTTATTCTCATGTTGTGTGTGCATAATATGTGATTCTATATATTGAAGCAAAGTTGAGTTGTTGTCATCGTCATCATCCTTGCCTTATTCTCGTGTTTTGTGTGCATAATATGTGATTCTGTATATTGAAGCAAAGTCATGTTGTTGTCGTCATCATCCTTGCCTCATTCTCATGTTGTGCGTGTATAATATGTGATTTTGTATATTGAAGCGAAGCCGTGTTGTACCTTGTCGTCGTCGTCCTATTCTCATGTTGTGTGTGCATAATATGTGATTCTGTATATTGAAATAAAGTCGTGTTGTTGTCATCATCATCGTCCTTGTCTTATTCCCTCATGAGATCGGCCATTTACTGTATCGAAGTACTTCGTTTGGAATTCCAATTTTTTCCAAGATTCCAAAGTTTCCGCTCATAGTTGGATTATTGTCAATCAAATGCAGAAATAACATAATGCAGTTTTATTTTGCTTAGTATTAGTAAATGAGTGTAAAATTCATAGAATTTCATGCTACTGATTCATTTGGGCTGTAGGTCTACTTGGTGGTTTTAATGATAGTGTAGCTTTGATTCTGTTTGCAATTTATTTAGAAATCCAAATTATAACTTGTGTAATAAATTAATAATTAATAATTATACAGCTTTTCCACCGGGTAAGTGTGCAGACGTCAGGTTTGCAGTGAGGAGTTTGTCAGTGGGTGCTACCACCTCTTTTTATTATTTGCTTCTGATCTACTGATTTTCTCAATATTTCACCTTTTCAAACTGTAAATCCATTATGTTTCAACTTTCATTTGCTATGTATTTCATTTGTTATGTAAAATATATATATATTTTTATTTGTTTGGTATTTAGTTGTCGTAAAATATTTAAGAAAAAAATATATATATATTAAAAGTTAATAAAAATAATTTACCTATTCATTTTGGACAAATTATTTTACACCTCTCCACTTGATGTACTATACATTGTATGTCAAACACCGAACAAGTAAAAATAATATATATATATATATATATATATATATATATATTTTATTTGATACACCGAACAAGTAAAAATAAAAATATATATATATATTTTATCTGAAAAAAAATTTATTTTTTAAGAAAATATTTTATTTTGAGGTCTTAGCCAGTTTGGGGTCTCTGTTGGAGTAAAAAGTAGAGAAGTAATCTCAGAAGGACTCTTAGATAAAAAGAAACAAATTATTACTTTTTGTTATTGTTGAACTAGCATCATTTATTAATAATTATTTTTATTTTATCTTCTAGTTAAAATAGAAGCTGTGAATGAGATGTTACCGGGTTTTTTTTTTTTTTTTTTTCAAGGTAAATAGTTGCTTAAATAGTTCAGACCTATCATTTATTAACTCTTGTGGGATGATGACATAATTTTTCATTCACATAAATGTAATTGGATTAATTCGAGAATGATTACAACTCAAAATAGAAATAAAATATATAATCATATAATCTATATTAATTCAATATATAACAAGTTTACTGTTGGAAAAAAGATATACATATATATAACAAGTTTTGAAGGATGGATTGGCTGTAGATGAACTTGTTGACATATGCAGATGTGAATGTGATATTTTCTTATGGTGTAAATATTTTTTTTTTAGTATGACAGAGACAGGGCCGGCGGGAATTAAAAAAAAAAAAAAAAAAAAAATTATTAGTAGTAATAATGTATAGTCATGAATGTTACTAATGGTAATTTTGTATAGAATATTAAATTTGTCCCTCCAAAATATTTTTCAGAATTCTATTAATAGTAATTATTTATAGTTATTAATGATAATTTTGTATAAGAAAATTAAAGTTGACCTCTTAAAATTTTATAAAATTCTCATTTATAGTTACTTATCTTAAAAGATGGTTTGTGAAATAAATTATTTATGAATTTTTTTTTAAATGTTTTGATCTTGTCTTTAAAAAATCAAATTTAATAATACAAGTGTTTATTATTTTGTAAGTATTGTTAAATGTATTAGTACGATATATATATATATATACATATAAAAGTATATAAATTATTTGTTACGTAGTAGTACGTAGTATGATTTAAAGAGAGAGACGAAAAAAAAAACAAAAAAAACATTGCTATATCCCTTTGACTTGCACTCACACACACGTTTACATTGTGTGTCATATATTAATTTGTTTTTTTTTTTTTATATGGATAATAATTGGATTAACAATTTTTATTAATTTTAATTCATGAAACTTACTTAAATAATTAAGCTCGTGGGTAGGTTTAAAACCAACTTGCTTAAATAGATCATTTCTCTTAATACTCTCATTGATCCATGGTGTTTTAAAGACATTTCATCTCAAATATTTAAACTCTATTTCTTATAAACACACACACACCCGCACGCACGCACATATATATATATATGTATCATCACACATGCTCACTCCGTTTCATGCGTACTAAAACCCAACCCACCAGTCCACAAACTAACCCACACAGTCCTCCTCAGACTGTTCTATGATCAAAACCAAACACAATCCTTCAATGCCTTTCAAGAACCTTTCTTTTCTCTTCTCTCTCATCACCATTCTCTCTCTCCTCACTCCCTCGTCACAATCCCACCGCTCCAGGGAGTTACTTTCCCGGACCCACCATGCCCCGAAATTCAACGTCATGTCGACGATTTTCGACTTCAACGTGACCGGACCGTCGCCGTCAGACACTCCCGGCGGCCAGTGGGTCCTACTCCAAAAGAGCATAGGCATCTCGGCCATGCACATGCAGCTTTTAAACAATAACAAGGTGGTCATCTTCGACCGGACCGATTTCGGCACCACCCCGCTCAACCTCCCTCACGGCCAGTGCCGCCACAACGACGCGGTGGTGAAAGTGGACTGCACCGCCCACTCCATCGTCTATGACGTCGCCAGTAACACCTTCAGGCCTCTCGCCGTGCAGACCAACGTCTGGTGCTCCTCCGGCGCCGTCCACCCCAACGGCACCCTCATCCAGACCGGTGGCTACCTCGCCGGCGACCGGAAAATCAGACTCTTCAGCCCCTGCTACGATCTCCAAGAATGCGACTGGGTTGAATTGCCGACCAATTTAACGGTCCGGCGATGGTACTCTTCGAACCACATTCTCCCCGACGGGCGTGTCATTATCGTCGGAGGCCGAGGACAATTCAGCTACGAGTTCTTCCCCAAGAACCCAAATGATGAAGCCTCCATGAAGCTTTTTCCACTCCATTTCTTGATCGAAACCATGGACTGGTTCGAAGAAAACAATCTTTATCCATTCTTGCACCTCCTGCCGGACGGCAACCTCTATATCTTCGCCAACCAGCGATCGATTTCGCTCGATTACGCGAACAATCGTATCGTTAGGGAGTTCCCGGCGATCCCCGGCGAAAAGAGGAATTACCCGGCAACGGGTTCGTCAGTTTTGCTACCTCTCCGGTTAACCGGCGGCGATGGGTCGCAGTTGCTGGAGGTGGAGGTGATGATATGTGGTGGTGCACGGGGAGGTTCGTACACCAAGGCACGAAAGCGTCGTGTATACGTGGAGGCATCTAAGAGCTGTGGGCGTTTGAAGCTCACGGATTCTGCACCCCAGTGGGTGATGGAAGAAATGCCCATGAGTCGGGTCATGCCCGACATGTTACTACTACCGACCGGTGACGTGCTGATCCTCAACGGCGCGTCGCACGGCACGGCCGGGTGGGAGGTAGCGGTCGGACCGGTTCTCAACCCGGTTCTCTACAGACCATACGAGACCGACACAAGTAAAAGATTCACTGTGCTCAACTCCACGAGCATTCCAAGAATGTACCACTCAGCCGCCACTTTATTGCCAGATGGCAGGATTTTAGTGGGCGGTAGTAACCCCCACCCAAAATACGTGTTCACCGACACACAGTATCCAACAGAACTGAGCTTGGAAGCTTTCCTGCCACATTACATGGCCCCACAGTACGCTACTCTGCGCCCTTCCAACATAACAGTGGAGGGTCATGTCGTATCGTACGGTCAGCAATTCGCTATCACGCTTGGGTTGATTATGTACCGTTCTGATCGCGCGATCACAGTAGCGATGATTGCGCCGTCGTTTACTACGCATTCGTTCGCAATGAATCAACGGCTGTTAGCGTTGGAGGTGCTGGCTATTGAACGGCTGTCGTTGTTTGGGTATAAAGTTACGGTGTTTGCACCTCCAAATAAGAATATTGCACCGCCGGGGTATTATATGCTGTTTGTGGTCAATGATGGAATACCAGGGCATTGTGTTTGGATCAGGATCAATTGAAGATCAAAACAATTTTTTTTTTTTTTTTTTTAGGGTTGTCCAAATTTGAGCCTATTTTTTATAATTTATTACTTTTTTTTTAGTGGAGTGGAATTTCAAAGCAATTTTGGTTGGTTTGGAATTTTCAATTTTACTTTTAGGAAAGAATAATCTTTTGACGTAATTACCCTTTTCATGTGTTTTTCTTGTACGTGTGTAATTTATTTTATTCACTCTCTTAGGAAACCAAGAAAATATTTTTAATAAAATGCAGTAGTAAATTTGTAAATTTGCCTATTAGGCCACCGGTTGAAACACGATTTAATTATATTGAAACCATAAATGGTGATGTTGAAAAGAGATCTCCATGCACTAAAACTTATTAAAATCTATAACTACATTATTTAAGTGTGTTGAGATAATTATTCTGATTCAGGACTTTAATCATACAATAACATATTTTGAGAAGTGATATACAGATGATGCTTGTACATTATATATATATATATATATATATATATATATATTGTACATAATATATTCAAGAGATTGTACTTTTATATGGCGGTACTAGACTTTGACAGAACAGAAGGAGCAACTCTTTGGGTGGGTGGTGGGTGGCAAGGGACAATAATGCCCATCTAACAATTTGCAATATTTATTAGAGTTGCGGTTCTTGAGAGACTGTTAATGTACTCTACCTTATTTATTATATTACTTTTTTGTTTTTGTTTGATTTAATTTGAGAATTACTTTCATTGGTAAAAACTATTCTTGATAATAGATTTCTTAATAAATGATATGAGAATTAATTTAAGATTACTTAAGAGTAATGCACCTCTTAACACTTATTAATGAATATTGCATTTGACTAAGAAAAAAAAATATTGCGTCAGTAGATAAAATCTCAAAAACAAATAAATAGAGGAGTGCTGTATAATTATATTATTTTTTCTTAGTTTAGAAAACTTTTTCCAGTAAATACAGCCAAATAGATTTTTAAACTCAAAAAATTGATAAGTGTTTTATTCTGATTTTCTAAAAACTATTCTTGAAAACTCAAAATTGAAAACCGATCCAAATAGGTCCAAGTTTCCGTTACAAAAACAAATATATGTCTTAGATACACATAAAAAATAAAATTAAATAAAAAATAAAAGGAAGGAAAGAAGGGAGAAAGCAAGTAAGAGAGCCCATATAAAGTCTTCCGGACATTATTCAGTGGCCTAAGTAATAGAGTGTCTAACTTCCTGAGCGAGAGTGTCCTAGTGTTGGAGTCCCCCTCCGCCGAAAATAAAAATAAAAAAATAAAAAATAAAAACATATTAAAGTCTTCCATGCCTTACAGTGCAATTCAAATAGCTACAACTTTCTTTTGGAAGCCCAATCATGCAACTTACTGGGCTTTTGCAAATTCCAGGATCCAGACAAAAACAAATTAGTCCAAATAGTGAATTTTTTTATTGGGCCTTAAATTTCCAAAACCAGCGCCAGTAGTAATGTGACTAGAGAAAACAAAAATAATGGAGATGCGGGGTATCGATCCCCGTACCTCTCGCATGCTAAGCGAGCGCTCTACCATCTGAGCTACATCCCCGACATTTTGTCCCGGTTCAATATTAATTTAATAATATAATAATACATTTTGAAACTACATTGTTTTTTTTTTTTTTTTTTTTTTTTTTTTTTTGTCACATTTGAAACCACATGCCTGAGGGGTTATGCTCAGGGTACTATATTATATACACTAAATTTATATATTTTTGTATGTATATATGAAAATATACATATAATGCCCCCCCTTAATTTTTTATTTTATAAAATTATTTCTTAAGTTTGTGTTTCTTTTCTCTTTTACTCTTTAAATTTGTTTAATTTCCCTACCAAAAAGTTAAATTTTCTTTTTTGAATCAACTCTAATTATTTTTCCCTTTCAAAGTTCTCCCATTTTTTTTTAAAATTTTTGTCAATTATTTTTCTTTCTTATACTCCTAATTGATTGACATATAATTTTGCAATAATTTCTTATATGTGCCTCTTGATTTGAAGAATCTATATTTGTTGTCATATTTATTATTATTATTATTATTATATATTTTTAAACTGTGTCCCCCTAGATTTAATTTCTGACTCTGCTCCTGGTTATGTTGGCACTTTCGTAGATATATTTTGAAAACCGTGAATGAAAAACCTCTGCAAAGCGAATAATATTTACGTAACTTGAGACGGATCGTGACATCCAATATGTGCTTAAAGTTATATATTGTAGTTTCTTAAATTCCATCTTAAATTTTCAGTGGAACATATATGGTATACATGATGCATGATTGCAAACATGGAAACAAAGTCATCTGCAACTTTGTAGCTGGAAAATGTAAAATTGCGTCTGAAACCATAAACCATTTGATATGCATACTATAACAAGAGCATAAATGATTACAAAACAAACATAGTGCCCCAAAATTTCTGATCTGCTCTGATACAATCATCCAAATGTATGATTTCTCCTCTTGCAGCATCAAATCTTGGGCACAATGCACAATATATAATACCAAAAGGCTAGTCTTCATGACAGAGTAAATATTGATGCTTGTTTACTCATCATCTCTTGTCAATCTGTACTTGTATCTGTTTGCCCAGAACAGATAGTGCACGAAATTCAATCCGCTCAACGCGCACATGAGCCAGTAGAATCGCTCCAGATGATAGTGGTTCAGGTTGCTACCGGAGAGCCATGGCTGGTGCTTGGAGTCACCTGTCACACTGTTGACTACAGACACTATGACTGTGCTGAGGTAGTAACCTATGGCTAATGAGGCAAAAGAGAGAGAGGTAGCCAATGATCTCATACTACTTGGCGCCTCTGTGAAGAAAAACTCCAACAGCCCAGCTAAGGTGAAAAGGTCAGCTGATCCGAGGAACAAGTACTGAAAAGCAATCCAGAAGAATGTGATTGGCAATGGGTTGGGTGAATCAAGCAGCCCTAAGTCAGATGCTTTTCGTTTTCGTTTAACTTCCACAAGTGCTGCCACTGCCATGGCCAGAATGGAGAGGACTAGACCGGTTCCTATGCGTTGGAGATGAGTGATCCCCATTTCTGTTTTGGTGACTTTTCGCGCAAAGGGGATGATGAAATGGTCGTAGAGTGGTGCAAGGATGATGATGAAGAGGACAGGGAAGACAGGGAGGGATGCCGGTGGGACTTTTAGGGAGCCGAGCTTTGTGTTCATGGTGGCTGCTTGTTGGACTGAGAATGTGGAGAGCTGAGCTAGGCAGCAATTGAGCATGATTGTGCAGGCGAAGATTGGGAGGATTTTGAGCACAATCTTGACTTCTTCGACTTGCTGTACCGAGCATTCCAGAGCTGTGTGGACTGGCTTGTTTGCTACTGCTCTGTTGAGGAATTTTAGGGATTTTGTTGGGGCTTCCATGGGCTGATCCATTGCTTTATCTTCTTCCTTTCTAGAAGGGATTAGAGGAGAAGGACTCATGGCCATGCTCACAATGGCATTGCTTGAGCTTTTTGTCGAACAAGTGTTTAGTGTGGTGGCAACCAAAACCTGTTCAATATCAATGAAAAAAAAAAAAATTTGATATCAGTCACAGTGTATTAGGTTGTTCTAAGCATAGTCCGGATCCTCTGTTGTGCACAACACGGTGCTGTAGGGTTTTCAACACAGTTAAATCCGTTTTCAACACATTAAATCTACTTATTTCAGCCAGATTTGATGTGTTGAAAAACGTAATTAATGTGTTAAAAAAATACTATGTTGAAAAGCGAAAGTAAATGTGTTGAAAAACAGAATTAACGTGCTGACAAATTACAGCACCAGTATAGCAAAGAATGTTATAGGAGGATCGGGACGCATAGTATAGAATATTTCAGTCTCACCTTGACTATGGTTGTAAGTGGACTTCCACAAGGTATTTTGTTCCTGTAAAAAGATGAACCGGCAAGGAAGATAGGGATGGACAACAATATTGTGAGAGTGGAAATGCCGAAGCCCCATTCCCACCCCTTGTTGTCCTCAATCCACACCACCAGTGTCACTGCAATGAGAGCGCCACACGCGAGACAGAACACAAAGTAGTTGAAGAAAGTTGACCTTTGCTTCCTCCCCTGTGGAGTGTTGTCATCGAATTGCTCAGCCCCGTGTGCTGGTATCGACCCTTTTATACCTCCCACTCCCAGTGCCACTAGATAGAGGCCTATGAACAGCATTGCAGCTTTGGCACCATGAACTTCCTGGCATGCAATGCCAGGGATGGTTGCCTTGCATTCTGGTGGCTTTAGGGAAGGTGAGTGAGCTTGCACTGTGAGTATGACCAAGCCCTGTTCCAAAAATCAAATTTGGTTAAGCCATGAGTACTAAGTGAATGAGTCATGATATAGAGTCCAACAGTCAGACAACTCCGATTGTTTTTATATAAGTGGGAGCTGACATCATGATACTACTGATGTCATCATGACGTAGGTCTCCGTTACATAAAACAATCACATTAGTCCAGCTCTCGAACTATATTTCATTTTCCTTTTTTATCATAATATATTGATCTAATAGGACAATGAAGAAGAAGATGTGAATGCTCAAACTCAGAATATATATGTAACCCAAATTCACAAGGCCAAGTTTGTATAGTTAGTTTCACAGGCCATTTTGGTTACATCAATTTAAAAGCTTAGGGCTTTCAAGTCTCAACCACTTGTGTGCATTACTACCTCAAAGTTGGGATGTAATTGGGCCACTGAGTGTCCAAAAATCCAAAGTCAAGGCTTTGGAAAGCAGGGCTATATATCCAACCTACCCATTAAAGGAGGATGATGGGCTTTTCCCAACTGGCCCATATATATAATACTAGAAGCTATTGGACACATGATAATGATGCATCTGCTCAAAGTTCTCTAAATATTTGTGTGTGTGTGTGTGTGAGAGAGAGAGAGAGGGAGAGAGTGTGTGTGTGTAAGTCCTACATATATATATATATATATATATTGATATTGGTGATTTAAATTAGTTAGTAGTTTTTTGAAAGGGGGAGTATCATCACCAAGAAGCGTTACCAACCCATTTTTAATGGTATAGATTGTCAACTATGAATTGTCACTACAAAAAGTTAAAAATGTTGGTCATAGTAGACTTTAGTGTGTGGGTCACCTACATTAGTAAGGTTTATTTCTTTTCTTTTTAATTTTTTTTTTTTAACCAATTAAGAAGGTTTATTAGATTTATATGCTTAACTGGTTAACTTAGCTTTTTAATTCTTTAGATGCATTAAATAAAGAAAAATGATATTAGGGTCAAGAATTTTGACTCACAACACCAATCGAAAGACTTGATTGCTTTTAGATATGTTTGCACGGGACTACCTACTCATATAGTAATATTCTTAAACGGACAAAATTTACTTAAATGCATGCAAGGACTATTTTATACCCTGTATAACTAGCTGATAAATGCACTGTACAATTGCCGTGCACTCCACTTTTTAATTTTAATAACTAAAATGACATATTTACCCTTCATCAGATTGTTCGGAAATCAAAGACAAAATAGTCATTTCATTTGAAATTCCCTTGTCAATCGGACATATACAATTAGCAAATATAATTAGGATAAGTGTCCATATAGGTGGACTCATTTTATCCAATGGTGAGTCCATCATTTGGAGTTCCTTAATTTATCCACATATATAATTAGCAAATATAATTAGGATAAGTGTCCATATAGGTGGACTCATTTTATCCAATGGTGGGTCCATCATCCAAGGTCTCTAGTCACAGACAAGGACCTTACAAACTATTGGTTTGTTAACACGTGCTTCACAATCTCCACTAGTGCCACATCCATACGGTGACAAAATATTGGTTGACATTTAAGGATAAGTCTTGTTAAACCAAGAGACAAAATGTTAATGCCAAGAAAACAAAATAGAATGCTTTTCAACAGAAATTGAGAAAGTGAGAAGTCTCTCTCTTTGTCATTGCATGATACACATTGTAACCAGATACCTTGCATGTGTTGAATGTGTGGGACCCAAGCACCCCCCACCTCATACATGTATAATCCATATATCTATAATGATTAAAGTGACTGGTTTGATGATTTATTTGAGCCCAAAACATGATTAGTACTTAGTAGTAGTACTTTTGCTACTAACTCAAAAAAGTTTCCCTGTCTCATCACTTTTGCCTCTAATATCTCATAATGTACAGTAACTTGGTAGCCACCACCTATATGTATATATATATAATATTTTTTTTAAATCTAGATAATTTGTGCTTATAAATATATAAAAGTTGTGATGGTCTAGTCGAGAATTTTGTTCATTCACAGGATATAATAAATCGAAATATAGAAACGTAAACATATAAATATTAAACTATAAACATTTCCCATTGATTGCACAGAGTCTGTGTGGTCGGGATAGTAGATACTGTCAATTATCTATATATATATATATATATATAATTATTAGAAGGGTACCTTCATTAAACCAAGAAGTGAATGCACCAATTAAAGAGCAGTAAAAAAATAATTCAACATCTGCAGATTCACAGTTTTCAATGTTTTTCAGCGTTTATTGCAACAGTAGACTGTCTAGCAGACATATGATCCAATTGAAAGTCATGTATATTAATATCCTCGGAAAACCCAATAAAAATCTAACCAAATTAATTACTTTTAGGGTTTCACAGGTAACAAGCTAAGAAGTTACTGCAGGTAAGATTTAAAAATTAACCAAACACATACTAAAGGTGAGAGAGAGAGAGGTGTAATTTACCAGGAATTCAACAACTGCACTTATCAGGAAGATGTGATAGGTGGTGAGAAAAGCATCTGATAAGAACCCACCAAGAAGGGCAAGTAGGAAAGCAGTCCCCATGAAATTTGTGACTGAATTGGCTGATTTGGAGGGCGAAAAGTGCATGTACTCAGACATATATAGCACCAAGTTGCTTGCATTTGCCAGGTATGCCAAGTTCTCCAATACCTCCACAACTATATATATATATATATACACACACACATATATAACAAAATCAAAAATTAATTAATAATAATAATAAATCATTTGAGATTAAAATTAAATTAAATTAATCTGCCCTAAGATCCATATTCAAGCCTACATGCATTAGTTAAAAAGGTTCTCATTAAATGTCATATACGCGTTAAGGAGTAATGTTACAAATTACTGTTGTTGTTTTGTTCGTGTCGAATAAATGATGTGAGAGTCTCTCTGCTATGTCGGTGACAAAAATTGATTAGGGTTTCTAACAATATTCGAGATAAATATTACCATTAATTACAAGTTTTATTTTTTTCAAGAAAGTAAAAATCATCGAATCATGTGAGAGAGAGTGTGCGCGAGAGAGGAAGAAGAGGTGAGTGTTAGATTTTGACTGGCCCAAGCCATGGTGGCCACGAGCTCAATAATTGTCATATCAGTCCCTAATAAAATTGATCGATTTTTTAGAAAATGAATATTTTCAAGAAAGTAAAAAAATCATCAAACCATTTGAGAGTGAATGTGTGAGGAAGAAGAGGTGGGTGTTGATTTAGACTGACCCAAGACGAAGGAGGCGGCGAGCATGCCGCCATGGCGGCCTCTGAGTGCAGGTCTGTTCCTCCAATCTACATAGCCTTCCCATGTGTTGAGCTGGTGGTGTTCCACTTCCTGCAACAAAAGCAAAGTGAAGTACTACTTGAGAGAGAGAGAACATTTCATGTGTTTTGTCCAATAAAGGATAACATGCAAGAAGAGTGACAATATGAAAAAAAAGAGTTAGAAATTAAGAGGAACAACTCACCATCTTCTCTCCTAGCTTATTTATTTTCTCAACTTGCCAAGATGATATATATATATATATATATATAGATCTCTGAATTGAGAAGACTTGAAGAGATCAGAGAAAAGAGGAGTGATCAAGAGGGGAAGGCTCCAACTTGAGGAGAGAATGGTCTAGACACCTTAGAAAATGACTTTAAATCCTTTGAACACCTTTATATATATATATATACTACTTGTATCCCCACTCTGTGTGTGTGTGTGTGTGTGAGAGAGAGAGAGAGAGAGAGAGAGAGAGAAAGGGGGAGAGAGATGGGTAGGTTTATATATATATATATATTGGTTAATTATAAAGATATATATCTCTTAAAAAGAGGGGCAAAAAGAGATAGGGGGTATCAAATCCTCTCCTACCAAATTCTAATGAAAAAGAGAAATTAGGCTACCTTGTCTTATTTGACCAGGAAACTTGCAATGAATGTAAAGAGCTTTGCATGGCTACCATACCATCCTATTTATGGTATGTTTGCAATTACAAATTGAAATTTCAGAAAATTAGGCCCACTTTTTTTTTTTCCTATCTTTTTCATTTTTGTAATACTTCTGTCTCAATTTAAGTATTGATTTTGGGGAGTAATAATTTTTAAGGAAACATATAACATATCTATTATCTCTCTTAAAAGTTAATAAATTACCTTTTAAAATTTTAAATATTCAAGTTTAATATTTAAATTTCAAAGGATATATATGAAAAAATATGAAATATATTATTTGAAAAAAGAAAAGTGGAGAATTATTTGAAACAAATAAAAAAGGAAAGTATGATACTAATTTGATTTATATTGGCTAAAATGGGAATATAATAAATAAAGAATTGATTCTTTAATCTTCAATACACGCGTTACAACATGATCCTTTAATTAATTTGATCTTGTCTTATCACATGGGAATCCCATAGGCTGGTTAATGATAACATTGAACTACACTGTAGGTGAATTTGTGGCCACTGATGGAAAGACTTTTTTTGTCATATGATCATGTTATGCAAATTGGAGATAACAGTATGTATGAAAAACCTATACATATATATACATACATGTATATGTCTATGGATATGTGAAGGTCATAAAGGGAGTGGGGATGGTCCTGGTCTGATGGATGACTGGAAGTCAGTCAAAATCTGGCTTTTTAAGACCATACCAACCATCTCCACTCACCTCGATCATCTTAGTGGCTAGACCACGGACTCTCTTAAAGCTAGTACCTTGCGTGCGTGTGTGCGTGTGTGTGTGTTATACAGACAATTGTTGTGTTGGGTATTTTTTTGAAAAAAATTCAATAATTGTGTGTATTACATTGGAAATGGGAGACTAAATACTATACTCCCTCCGTCTCAATATAATTGTCATTTTTGGAGAGTAATAATTTTTAAATGAATATACGGGATATGTATTTATTAGCGATACATGTTCTGGAGTTTAAATTTAAATAAGGCAAAAAAAAACATAAAACCCCCCTCAAGTATTAGGAATCAGCATTTTACCCCCCCTAAACTACAAAATCGAACAAGTCAATCCCTTAATTATAAAAAATGATCAGTTTCACCACTTGGTTGTCCTTTCCGGCTCATTTCCGGTACCAGCATTGTACATTTACAAAAATGCCCATTATAATTAACATTTAAAAAAAAGCAAATAAAATTAAAATTGTGAAATACTATCAATACCCTCAAGTAATTATACGGATCAGTCTTCTCTGTTGGGAATTCAATTAAGGGATAGGTGAAAAAACTCTGCAGGATATTCGAATCTACCAAATCCCCAACATCAATTCTGGATGAATCGCAATCGCAATTACAATCGCCTACCAAATTAAAACCCACCAAATCGATAGAATCCGATTTTAGGGTTTCTTCGTTCACTACCAACCCTCTAATTCGATTGCCGAGTAATGAAGATCAAATTATCGTCTATTTCACCAGTTTGAGGGGAATTCGGAGGATGTACGAGGATTGATGTGCTGTGAGGATGATATTAAGGGGGTTTAGGGTTTTCGTCGACGACCGCGACATTTCCATGGATTCAGCTTATAGGGAAGAGTTGCAGAGTGTTCTGGGCGAAAAAAATGTGACTTTGCCACAAGTGTTCGTCCGAGGAAAGTACATTGGAGGTGTTGATGTGATCAAACAGCTTCATGAGGTTGGTGAATTGGCTAAAATTCTCAGTGGGCTTCCGATTCAAGAACTTGGGTTTGTCTGCGAGGGCCGTGGGGATGCCAGGTTCATTCCGTGCTCGAATTGTAGTGGAAGTAGAAAGGTTTACGACGAAAACGAAGACCAGTTGAAGAGATGCCTGGAGTGCAACGAGAACGGGTTGATCCGGTGTCCAACTTGCTGTTGTTCTTGATATATATATATATATACACACACACGCACCATCTGACCTTAACTTCTTCAACTCTGATAAAGTTTTTTTTTTTTTTTTTTTTTTTTTTTTTTTTTTTTCTACACTTGGAGGGGGAGCAGTTGCAGTTGGAGAAGGAAGAAGAAATTTTGGACTCAATTTACAGATAAGGCTACAACGGTCATACTGTAAGGGTAGTTATGGAATTATATTAGAAAGTAAACTCACGCACTCCATCTGTTGCCGGAAAGGACTGCCAAGGGGTCAAACTGCACATTTTTTATAGTTATGGTATTGACTTGCTCGATTTTGTAGTTCGGGGGGGGGGGGGGTAAAATGCTGATTCCTAATACTTGAAGGGGGTTTTATGCTTTTTTGCCTTTAAATAATTGTTAGAGTTTGAATTCAAACAACTATTCTAATAGTGGTAAGATAAAATCATATTATTTGATTATAGGAGAGAATCATGTTAATTGTCTCTCTCTCTCTATTTATGCTCACATTTTTTTGTAAAAGAATTATCGAAGATAGAGACTTTTTCTATCCAAACTCTTGAATTTGTCTTCATGTTATCAGAGCCAACGATATCCTAGGCTTTTTCTTTTCTTTTCTTTTTCTTTGCTTACCCATCTTATTCTTTGCTTACTCACCTTATCAATAACTGATCCATCACTATACCCATATCCTGCATCCCTCAACGTGACAAATTTTGTGTTAATAAAATTAACACAATCCAATTTTCTGTTATAGAAAACGCAGATAATGGGACTGATTGAGTCACAAGATATGGTAGGCTTCATAGATAAAAGTCTTTCTTCTCCATCAATGTACCAACAACAATCAAGAGAAGAAACGAGCGAGAAGACACTGAATCTAGCATACATTGCTTGGAAAAAGTCAGATAGGCTGCTGTGTGGTTGGATTACCGGCACTTTAACTGCTGAAGTACTAGTCGCAGTAGTCGGATTTGACACTGCATATGATGTTTGGACTACGTTACTTCATGCATTCGCTCAAGATTCACAGGAACATGAATTTTATTTGCAACAAAAATTAAGGATGCATCGGAAGGGAAATTCATCCCTCTTTGAATATCTTTTGATCTTCAAAGGCATTTGTGATAATCTTACTGCAATTGGCAAACCTGTTAACGATTAAACAAAGTTTTTTGCCCTGCTAACCAGACTTGGTCCAGGGTATGAATCTTTTGTTACTACAAGGCTAAAGCCTCCAACGCCAACATACAGTGAAGTGGTTCATCTACTTCAATCCCATGAAACAATTAAGATTCTTCATACAAATGACAACTATGGCAGCATGAATCACAATGCGGCATTTATAGGCTAGCGACAAAACTTCAACAAATTCAATCAAACTCAAGGCCGAGGCAAGCCAGGTTCCTTCAACTCTAGAGGACGCGGGTTTACCCAAGCGATTCGCAGTAATGGGTAGTATAATACTGGAAGGGGCAATCCAGATCGCCAAAATCCTAACTATGCAACCCAAAATGAAAATGAAAAGGTGAGATGTGTCAAATATGTCATAAGCCTAATCACACTGCGTTACGTTGTTGGCATAAGTTAATCAATCATATCAAGCAGAGGATGTCCCCAAGGCATTTGCAACTGTCACAATCTCCAACAATCAAGACCAAGCTTGGTTTCCCGACACAGGTGCAAATGCACACATGACGGGTGATCCCTGTAAGTTACATTCATTATCCAGTTATTTTGGACATGACGAAATCATGGTTGGCAATGGAGATTCATTAAAGATCACCCATGTTGGTTTAGCCTTACTTGATGTTGACGATAGGAAATTATGCTTGAATAATGTTTTAGTTGTGCCACAAATCAAGAAGAATTTGATTTCAGTTAGTCAATTAACTTATGAGTTTCCTTATGTTTTTCACTTTTCTGCAGATGGTTTTGTTGTAAAGGACAAAGAAACACACCATATAGTGACAACCAGGAAGAGAAGCGGTGACTTGTATGTTCTTCAACCAACTAATAAAATGGCGTTGTTTGCAAACAGATTCAAGACCGCTACTGAGGACACATGGCAACAACGATTGGGACACACCCATTTTCAAGTAATAGATTATTTGCTTCGAAATAATTTAATTACTAGCTCTAAGTCCAGTTCAAATAAGATTGTATGCACAAGTTGTCAATTGGCTAAAGCCTGTCAGTTACTATTGTTAAACATTAATAAAGATGTCCCAAAATTATTTGCTAGAATTCATTGTGATTTGTAGGGACCAGCACCTGTGACTTCATTTCAGAGATTTCGCTATTATGTGATTTTTATAAATGAATACTCACGGTTTACTTGGTTTTTTCCACTCAAGCATAAGAGTGATTTCATATCGTGTTCTCTGAATTTCCACAAGTATGTCCGAACTTAATTTAGTAAGGAGATTCGTATTTTTTAATCAGATGGATGGGGTGAATTCATTGACAAAGGTTTTAATAATTATTTGGTTGCAAATGGTATTGTTCATTATATGTCATGTCTAAAAATACCGGAACAAAATGGTTTGGCTAAACAAAAACGTAGAAACATAACCGAGCTTGGCTTAACATTGTTATTTCATAATGGAGTTCCGAAGCGGTTTTGGGTGGAATCCTTTGCTACAGCCGCATGGTTAATCGACCAGACACCTACCCTAAGTTCTACAAATGAAATCTCCTTACGAGAGACTTTATGCCAAACGACCCAATTATGATTATCTTCATGTGTTCAGTTCTAGATGTTTTCCTTATTTACGGCCATATGCAAAAACAAATTTTGATCCATGGTCCTTGCTATTCGTTTTCTTTGGTTATTGTGATCAGTACAAGGGTTATAAATGCTTTCATCCACCTACTGGAAGGGTCTATATATCCTGGCATGTTGTTTTTGACGAAATAACCTTTCCTTTTAAGGATCCAGGAGCACTTTTTTTTTTTTTTTTTTAAGTTTCTAACCTTACTAATTTAGCTTCTTTTGATGACTAGTTGACAGGACCA